AAGCTTGTGTGTGTGTTTGTGTGTGTGTGTGTGTGTGTGTGTGTGTGTGCGTGCGTGTGTGTGTGCGTGCATGCATGTGTGTGTGTGTGTGTGTGTGTGTGTGTGTGAAGCTCACTGTCAGACTGCCTCGAGCAGATTCTCCCTCTGAGCAGCAGCAACCGCTGCTCCTTGCAGAACATTTAGACTAAAACCCTCCATCCGTCTCTTTGCACACAGAAAACTTGATGAATCTTTGTTTTGTGAGAGTTCTTGTGATAAACTGCCCTGACAAATACAAGCCGTTGTTAGTAGTGCGACAGGGGCCGGGCCAAAAACAGCTCAGAAGTTTTTGATGGTGATGCACAGACACAGCAATAACACAGAGTGACACTAGGCTTCCCAACGACAATACCACACATTTACTGCGTCTACACTTGGAATCAAGCAGAAAGACGAACATATCTGATCTACTCGCGCTCAACAAGTTCTTCTGTTTGAATCCACATCAGTTGATTTAATTAGCAGTTAAGAATGGAAACATAAAAGCACAATAGCATCCGTATGGGCGGATAATCAATGTCCATTTCCCACAAAAGATTTATGTTTCTGCTCTCCCTGCTCAGACAGGGTGACTGTAACATCACATCGTGATTGCTCAAAGCTTAAAAAGAGATTTGAAAGATCATTTAAGCCTCGTCCATTTTTCCACTTTCTTTTTTCTACTCTGCTCGCTTTCTATCTAAATCCACGCCCTTATCTGCTTGATGAAACAGATGTAAACGCACTGGAAAAAACGCACGACTTCCAACCAACAAAGCACAAAATCATATTGCTTTCAGATTAAATTAATAGAACACAAAATAATCCACTTTCTATTGAGCACCCTTTACAAGAAATCCAAACGATGAGAATGCTGCTTATTAATTGCTGTCTTACGATGCACTTGTTGCAAAGAGCCACACACAAACAAGACTGAGGCTACTGTAGGTTGCTTGTAATGCAGAGAGGATTGCTCTTTGCTTTGAGTATAGGTTATTCTCTTTAGCTTCCAAAAATTGCTTTTTAGAGGCCACAGATTTTATTCATCTAACAGGTAAGAACGACTTAGACTCCGGCTAGTGCTTAAAAATATCACCTGACCACATAAATGCTAAGAGAAGATCTAAAAATAGAAAAGATTTAAAAAAGCTAAAAAGAGTGTTTTCACAAGTTACTTTTTATTACTATTTTGTTGCTTTGATAATTATTTGACATCTAACTGTTCTTTGGAGCATCGTTTCTGCTTTCAGGAAGTTCTGTGTTTCTTTTGGCATCTTCAAGCTGTGACCTTCAGCATTTTACAGCCAGTGTGACACAGCCAGGATAAGAGTCAGAATGTGAGGTCATGGAGCTTGATCGGGAGAAGCCGGAAAACTCCCTGTGAGTTGGGAGTGAATCTCAGAGGAGTTCAAGTATCTGGGTGTCTGGTTTACGAGATTGAGGTTATAAGTTTAGATAAAGGGATGGAGCAGGAGATCGTGGCTTCATCTGCAGTAATGAGAGTGTTGCTGTGGTCGTGGTGAAGTAGGAACTGTTCCAAGCTGACCCTCACATCAGAGAGAAGTTTGGAGCAGAGAGTAGAGCTGCTGCTCCTTCACATCAAAATAATTCACCTGAGGTGGTTTGAACATCTGGTAAGGATTCTCCTGGCACACACCACTGAGACAAGAACCCAGGGAAGATCCACAAGTCCCCCAAGGGATAGTATGTCCTCCACCGCCTGGAAGGAGTTGGAGAGTGTCTCTGGGAAAAGTCCTGTCTGATTTACGTTCTTGACCTTTTAATGGTATGGCCTAACCATAAGTGGTGAAAAAAAGATGGATCTTCATGATATTAGAATGAGAAGACCAACTTCATGGTGAGGCTGAGTCCAGTCGGCATAGAACAAGATTGGGTAATGGACATTTTCAGTGACAAATTCCAGCCAGTGGGTATTGTTAATATGCATACTGAATCTAATTATCTAAAATAAATGGAAACAATTGTATCATAACAGTTGTATATGTGTGTGGGTGGTGTTTAACCCTTCCACTGTCCTATCGGGTGACCCCTCCAGGAAAGGTAACTGTTGAACAGGGTTGAAGGTTTATCCCTTGAGGTCCACGTGGCGGGGGTGGTGCTCTCAGTGGGAGGGTAAAGAAGACTATGTTTAAGTTTTGATGGGTTGGTGGAACCTTGGAGTTACACATTGCTCACCTTAAAGGGGACATGTTATGGCTTTTTTTTCTTATGTTATAATAGCACAAAGGTCACAACATGTCCACAAGGTTCTTTGCACAAATTTCTTCTCACATTAAAATATTTCACCAGCTTTATTCTTGACAGATTAAGTGTCTTCCAACATTTCAGGACTCTGTCATTTTCAGAAAAACAAGCTGGAGCTGGCCACTCCCACCCATCCCCTGATTGGCAGATATAAGCTGAGAAGCTCCAATATTCCAGAGGAACCTGAAGTAGCGTCGTTTCTCCTCCAGCCACAGCTCTCTCTTGCATGAGAGGTTTAATTTTGCCTTTTGTGACATCACAAACAGGAACGGTTTCACCGGTTTCTTTTAGGTACATAAATCCTTAAACCAAACACTAACAGAAAACAGATGCATAGGTTTTTTTTCACATTTGGAGTGTTTATAGAAGCGGTAGAGACACACATGACAATAAAAACGATGCTAAATGTAAGTTTGACATGATATGTCCCCTTTAAAGGAAAGCTAAACTAAGCTAATGCTATATTTATTTAGCTTTCCATAAATATGCCTGTTGAAAAAGATTTCTTTCTTTTTGGCAGCGTGAGCACATTTTCTGTCATTTAGAGAGATAATTATGCAAATCTGTGGGAACATTAAGGCACATCAGTTATTATTCATGAGTGTTTCTGGATTTGAGTTATTATAAAACAACATTTTTCAAAATGTAACCTTCTGCTTATGCCTGAGTCAATACCTGCCTGACGCTTTATCCTGTGTTTTTCTGTGATCTCGTGTGTCACCCTTATATTGTTTTATGAAACACCAATATCCTCCACAGCCTCTCATTGGGTCTCAACTATCGTCGCTCCACCAGTCAAAGTTGGTGGATGCAATCGATCAGAGCTATTTCTTCCACAGAGGGCTCATTGGCCGGGCTGCAGAATTTATGAGTCAGTGGATTATGCCTGATCAGAATGGAGAGGGGTGGATCTATTAAATATTTGTTGTTGTTGTTGTTTTCATACGTTTTCGCTAGTCTGGCAGCAACCCTCTTCTTCTTCTACCTCTTTTCCTGCTCCTATAATTCACTGATGCATTTGCATACAGCAATCAGATGTGACGGGCTGCTCAGTGAAGGCTTGTTTCACGTTTGAGGGGATAAATGGGATCAGACAGGCTGGAAGATGAATGCAGAGGAGCCAAATTCTCTACTTCTCAGAAAACAATAATGCCAGTTTAGATATTTTTTTTCTTTTCATTTCAATACAATTTAATTCAAATAAATTCTGTTGTTGCACTTAGAACCAATCTAAATAGTCATTTTTGCTATTGTTTTTTTTTCTTAAAGCACAGCAGCAAATGTAAAAAGAAAAAAAACAATGTTTTGATGATGATTGCTTATCATCATCCCAGAGATTTGCACTTCTGCTATATTGGATGTGCAGCAGCGGCTGCAGTAGGAGTCGATGAATCTTCGTAAATGATGTTTCTTTGTTGCCATGGAAGTGACAGCATCTGCTGACTCCAAGTGATGGATGTCAGATGGATGTCAAATTACGCTCAGCCTCCAAGCCTATATTGTGGTTATCTAATGCAGCCACACATATAGAGAATAATTATGAAGCTGTGTAGTCTCTGCCGGTGTTTTCATGCCCACAGTCGGGCCAGAAATGCAATACAATTACATCCTATAGAGAGATTTCAGCTATCATTGTCTGGCACACGGTAGCCGATGAAAAATTAAAAATCTCTGCAGGCATACGGAGTCAACTTGTCCATACAGATCTGTCAGTGCGAGACAGATTCCCCACCCTTGGAGTTAAACAAACGAGGTCCTATCTAGTGGCCTGCTGCTTGGCTCAACGCTGCTTCCTGTGCAGAATAGCAATTAATCAGAAGGGGATGTGTGTTACAACTCTGACATTATGAGCGAAACACTACTGCTGAAGATTAAAAGTGAGAATGCCTGGTGCTCTTCCTGTAGGGACATGTAATATTTAATAGTAAGCAAGCCCTAATTTAATCACAGAATGTTGCCACTGGCAGCTCCTAGTGACGCTGCATTGTTTCCTCCTCATTCCTAAGGAGAGTCTGCTGAGCTCAGCACAGATCTAATCAAACAGCCTTTCTCCAATGACAACAGCATCACTTTCATATTCCAGTGGGATTTCCTTATGCAGCAGATTTCACGTGAGGCTTTCATACATGTCTACAGAGCAGAGATCAATAGTGACGCAGCTCAAACTTCTGTTTCAATCACTTGATTTCCTGATCAAGCAGCAGCGTGTGTCAAGAGGAGAAACAGGAAGTCTGTCAGACAGTACAGAACCCTGATCTTTGCCAGTGATGACCCAGTTGTCAATATGCAGCGTGAACTTTGTCAGAGTGAGCAGAGCCTTATACAAGAGTCCTGCTGCTGGGTGAGAGGATGCTGGTGGTATTTGTGGACGGTGTTAAAGGAAATGTGTTTTTTTCAACCTTCAGGGGCTGATTAAGTCAGCAAAAACCATGGCAGGTGGTCCTTTTCTTTCTTTTATTTATATTTTTGTCACAAAAATGAAAGTGGATACCCTTAAAAATGGGCAATGCCTACCAAAACAATAATATATTTGACTTGGTGAGGGTGGATAAAGCACCAGATTTACATAACTGTTAACTTTAAAAGCACGCCTTTCTAGTGTATCAAACGGGTTCCAGCTTTTGGAAGCCCTCCCCTCCACCCCCTCACTATCCCAGGAGGAGCACGCTGTCCTCCCCCCCCCCCTCTGCATTCACTCTCACCCCCTAAATCAAAACGGAGACCTACCTGATTCCCTCCCGCGTGCGATCTCCGCTGGAGCGACTTCAAACGAGAAGTAAATGTTTGCAAAAAGATGAAGAAATATAACCGAGAGGAGACGCTCCGTCGGCTCCCTTCGCTCCGGACCGAGAGGCGCGTCAGAGTCCGTTCATCGTAGCCGGACGTCAGCGCTGGTGATGGTCGGCTCAGACTGATATTGTTATGCGGCTTTGATTCGTTTCTGCCCCCCCCCCCCCCCCCCCCCCCCTTGTTCCTGCCTTCACCGGATGCTTTCCTCCAATAGTGACCCGCTCTTCCAATTGTTCCTGCTTGAATGGACACCCTCCCCCGTTTTCCATTTCTCTCTTTCTTTTGGCACAAAGAGTAGCGCGTGCCTTTTATTTTTGTCATTAATTCATTTGTGCGGCTACGAGGAACGATTACTTACACTGAACCTTAAGCCAGGGGAAGTGCTGTTTGACAGAAAAACTTCTAATGAAACAACACGTTTGTTAGATTGATTTCAGGACCATGGCCAGCGCCTTTTATTGTGAAGGGATCGGGGTTGTCCGGCGCCTCAGAAACTGTTTTAGCAGCTGTAACGAATGCTTCATTTAAATCTGAATCAGCCGTTTTATTATCTACATGAATATTCTACTCCACCATGACACCCACCATCCAGTAACTGGTGCCACTTCTGAGGGAGAATAAACGTTAAGTCTAAACATGTCAAGAAAAAATAAAACTTTATTTGTCTAAACAAAATAACCTGAAAATTAATAATTTACAAAAGAAAACATAACGAACCTAATCAAATTTTTTCCACAATTAACTAATTAGCCACTGAAAGGCAACTGAATGATGAAAATGACTTGTTGCACTTTGGACCCTTTAATACCCCCTGATTCTGGTTTAAAGGGATGCTAGAGAGGCGGTCAATGTGACGTCACAGAAAGACAACTGCAGGTTCAAATCCCACCTGGGCAGGTCTTTCTAAAGGGATTGTAACTTTTCCATTTTTTATACCTATGTGGATTCAAGCCCTTTAAAGTCCCCCCAACACCACCACATTTAATTTTTCCTTAGTGAGTGTTTGTGCGTTACTTCAGCGTTATCCAAAGGAATAGAAGCATTCTAAACATGTTTCACCCATGAGCTGAGCCTGGATCAAGTTTTCACCATCAAAGTTTGTTGTTGTGATGCTGAAAATCCTCTGATGGCTTTCAGGACACCAGGAGGAGGATGGAGTTTATATCAGACCTCAGCAGGAACATCTGAGCCTCCTGTACACCAACCAGGATCTCCACTTTCTGAGCTACATCACCGCAGATGCTTTTGAACAAGATACAACCACTAAAATAACTTGTAAATGTGAGTATTTATCTATTTTAATCTTTAAAGAATGTGTCAATACATTTTTGGAAGGCCCAGGTAATGGTGCATTCAGTAATGAGCCCTAGTTGGAGTCCCTGGTGATTGTTTCTGACAAGAGAAGAAAGGCTTTAAATCTTTACTTATGTCCGACTCTTTGTTCACATCAGATACATAAAAACGAGATAAAAAATCTACCAAGAGAATAAAAACCACAAAGCAGTACAATCATTTAAAAATTAAGCTTGAATCAGTTCAAACATGAATTTTCCCCCCAAATATTTATATTAATATTGTGCATAATTTTAGCATCAAGCAAAATCAATGTCTCCATGCAAACTGTGTTTTTACCTGTGAGGGTAGAAATGTCTCTTCTAAATCCGAGACCATGGTCTTAAATCGGAAAAGGGTAGAATGCCTTCTCTAGGACAGGGACCAGGTCCTGTCTCAAGTGGAGGAGTTTAAGTATCTCGGGGTCTTGTTCATGAGTGAGGGAAAAATGGAGCATGAGATTGATTGGTGCTGCATCTGCAGTGATGCAGGCATTGTACCAAGCTGCCAGGGTGAAGAGAGAGCTGAGCCAGAAGGCAAAGCTCTCAATTTACCGGTCGATCAACGTTCCTACCCTCACCGATGGTCACGAGCTTTGGGTAGTGACCGAAAGAACGAGATCGCCAATACAAGCAGCCAAAATGACTTTTCTCCAAAGGGTGTCTGGGCTCCCCATTAGAGATAGGGTGAGAAGCTTGGTCATCCAAGAGGGGCTCGGGGTAGACCCGCTGCTCCTCCACATCGAGATGAGCCAGTTGAGGTGGCTCGGGCATCTGGTCAGGATGCCTCTGTAACCATACCAGCCCTACTGGTAGGTCCAGTTCTTTATTAACTCTGCATTGTGTTGTACAAAGAGTCTTGAGATGAAGTTTTTGCTGACACCAGCATTTAATCTGTTAACACAGGAATGCTGGTCAGAAACCTAGCCTTTGGTAGGATCATACAGCACACTCTGTTGGAATTAAAAGACTCAAATAAGTACTAAATAACTTTGAGTTTTCCTCACACACCGTGCACTGACAGAACTCGACCTACCTCAAACGTCTCAGTCTTAAAACTGACTAACATCAGACGCAGCTGGACACGTCAGCACATAAAACGGAGACGTTTTCAACTGTTTTACTGATGGCAAGCGGAATGACACTGTTTACTCTATTACACCTCCTGAATGCCTCCCTGGTGAGGTTTTCCGGGGCACGTTCAACTGGGAGGAGACCCAAGGGAAGACCCAGGACACGGTGGAGGGACCATGTCTCTTGGCTGGCCAGGGAATGCCCTGGGATTCCCACGGAAGAGCTGGCCCAAGTAACTGGGGAGAGGGAAGTCTGGGTCTCTCGGCTTAGGCTGCTGCCCCTGCGACCTGACTCCGGATAAGCGGCTGAAAATGGATGGATGGAAGGGTAGGAATGTCTGTTTAAGCTTCAGGTGACCGACACTTTTGTAGCACTGATGCAGGAACTCTATGTAATATTCCTGACTGTGTCTGGTGATGACGAACTGTAACCAAACTGATCAGAAACCAAAGCTGTCAGGTAAAATCATGTTGAGCTGTGACCTTCAAGCATCCTGCTAAACCACATTCCACAGCTATAGGAGAAGGTTCTAGGTCACATTTGGTTTTTAACAGCTTCTTTTGCTGATGATTTTATAAAAAATTCAATTAGGTTTATTTTAGGACATAAGCTCACTTTTCTGTTGTGTCATGATTCTATAAAAGAGTTGCCAGCTTACATAATCATACTTAGCAGATGAACTCAAAAACCCTCTACGTGGGAACTCATCATCCAACCGTCCATTTTTCCTTTCAGTTAAGCCACAATGTTTTTATCTGAGGGGTCTGCAACCACAACATAAGAGTTTATTTCTTTTTAATGTGAGTCTCTTAAACTGTTATGCAACAAGGAAAAAATGGTGAGAACTTTCTAGATTTTGTTGAGAACCACACAGAGCTTTATGAATTCTTACTAATTCTGAAAAAAAATTACTAAAATCAGCAGTCCAGTCGGCGATAGAGCTTCGCATCAATGAACACACACACACACACACACATATATAAACAGAGAGAGAGAGAGAGAGAGAAAGAGAGAGAGAGAGAGACAGAGAGAGAGAACTTTTAGTTATTTTTGCTTTTATTGATTGTTGTAATAATATTTAATGGCTGGTTACACATTTCATGATATTCTATCTATTATATAATATAATACGTTTTGTTTCTGTCACATTCAGCACTTTGAAATGTGCTACTGTTGCGCTAATTAGCTTTCAAAGATCACAATAGATAAACAGCTGTGGTTGTTGAATGATTAATAAATAGTCTTAATTAGTTTGATACATTTTCAAATAATTGATATTTGTTAATTCAATGGGTTATCTGCGATTTTACCTTTTTGAATCAATTTTTATCCTTTTCTGAGCTTCCCCATTTGACCTTTTACTTTGGATTGAAGGAATCAGTGTGAGTTAGTGAATATGAGTGTGATTTCAGCCAGAAAACCAAACTATTACAGAGCCATTAGAGATAGCTCAGGCTTTTCTTTTACTTCGGACAAATCGTGTTGTATAAATACTTTCATGCAAACTGTTCATCGTGTTCTTGCAGATGCAAGCAGAAATAGTGATGTTTGCAGCACCAGTGGCAGTCATGGCCTGTGCCGAGTTAAACTCTGTGCTCTGCTGAGTCTTTCTGTGTGCAGGTGGGTGTGTCCGGAGAGCAGCTGCTGTCTATCTGCTCATCAGTGGTCCGGGGATTTAAGGAGCGTCGGGACAACTCATCAGTGCCGGATGATTACTCAGTATTGGGTAGTACTCTTGCCAGCTCCTTGCCAGTATCTAAGTTCGTTTGTATCTCCTGTGTACCTCGCCTCCTTGTACTTACCTGTCCTGTTTCCTCTGACCTCCTCAGGAACTTCTCCTCCACCAGCCAACCTCCAGCAGGAAATAGACTCATTGGATTCAAACCTTGCCTGCCAGCCCCGTCGCTTATCCCTGACCGCCTGCTCTCCAACCCCACCTGCCAACCTGGACGTCCCGAGCTCTGGTGCTCAGCTCCCAGCCATTACACCTGACTCTCACTCGACCCGCTCAGCCAGCCGTGACTTACCCTCCTCTCAAAGCCTTCTCCAACAACCAGGAAACCAACTCCACCGGAACCACCCAAACTCCGACCTTCATCTTCACCTCCACCGTATTAAAATAAACCTTTTTACTTACCTTCTGCCTCTGGGTGTGATTCTGCATGTCGTGGGTCAAAAAAAACTACAACCCAACATGACAGCAGTGAAAGATCCTCACATCGACCTTTACCCTAAATTTCACGGTCTGCAGCCCAAATTAACGGGGGGGGGGGGGGGGGGGGGGGGGGGCTTTTGAACAATGCAGTCCCAAAGGAATCGCCAGCGTACGTGTTTTTACTGCAGGTTTGTTCTAATTAAAACTAAATCAAAGTTTCAAAGTGGAACTAATGAACTGAACCTGTGTCCTGAGAGGCACCATCACACAGTTTTTCTCCCCTGAAATTTCCAGGTTTAATGGGGTGTTGTCCCATGGGCGGGATGCTGGAATGATAAGGGGTTAAAGAGAACACACTGTTCACACATCTGTGCAGTAAGGCTCACATTTATCTCAGTTTGATTAACAGCTGCTTGCATGTGCACATTTGCATTTGAGCATGTAAACATGCAATGATGCACGGCTACTTGTGAGAAGGCAGCCATGCGAGAGCAGGTACATCAGTTTGCGTCTGATTCTGCATCATTTGGACGCTGAACATAATGCTTCGTGTGTGTTTGAACTTTGATTTTAATGATCTCCTCCTACACTCTCCAGCACAGCGTGAGCTCATTACATCTCACATCAGCGCAATTAATACCACTCAACTGTCTGAAAGAGAAGCCTCTTTCCTCAGCTTGCTTTACATTCAAGTGTCCGTTGCCTGCCTTTTGTTGATCAAGCAAGCAGCAAAAACACGTTTAATCATAATGCACGGAGCGTGTGTGTGTGTGTGTGTGTACAAAAAGACCAGCTAAGATGTTACTTGTGTAATAACAGCCTCCAAACTTTGTTTGAAAGTCGTGTTTATTGGCTTTAAAAGCCAAATGCGGCCTCAGACTCCGACCATTTGGCTTTAAATGCCATAGCTGCCAAATTGAAGCCTTTATATCTGTAGAGGAATTGCTTCGCCACACATTTTCTGCACTGCCCAACTATCAAAGTGCACTTGAAGTAGTCCCAGCTCCATTAGTGACGCTCTGAGGCCAACTGTAGAAGACTGAGGATCTCGGGACTGTTTCCAGGTGTTTCTGGGTCTAAATAAAACCCTTCATCCCTTTGTAAAATCTCCCCTTAGGATTGGCTGTAATTAGGAGTGTTTCCTTCTCAGCTTGCCTTGCAAATGAAAACATCTCTAAATGAAAAACAGAGCAGACTGAGCCAATCCCCACCACCGAGGCCTCCCACCACTGATCTTTAAACGGCGTGTCTTTGTTGCCCTTTAGCTTCTCCACAGTCCAGAACCTTGTGTGGCAAAACAAATGTTTCACTTTCTTTTCTCCAAAGTGTGCAAAACAAGTGCCTAAATAAAGAGACATATGCTGACAAAGAAGAAGAGACAAGCTTTGTCATCATAAGAAATAAAACAGCAGTGGGTTAATCCATCTCCTTGTTACTGAAGTTGACAAGTTTGATTCATAGTCAGTCAGACAGACGGAGACAGAGCAGTTTATCACCAACGGGGTAGTGACTGTTCAGCAGTTTTAACAGAGCATTATGAATGAACACAATTTAAATATAAATGCGGGAGAAAGAACAAAATTCCAGATGAGGAGAATGCCCCTCTTTGGTTTTGCACTTTGATTTAAGTGGCTTAAAATCAAAAGCAGGCGCTGTGGTCACAACAGTGACTTCATGGAAACCTATGCTCCCTCAAATTCATGCGTTCACACCGTGTAATGAGATGAACTCCTGGCGCGGCAGGTGAGGACTTTAAAAAACGGCCGGCAAGACATCAGCGCTAATGCGACGAGCAGACATTTGTTCCACTAATCACCGGGAGGATTGTCACAGGCGGCCGAAGCCGAAACGAGGCTACAGCAGACTTATGTTATTAGGCTGTGCAACAGGGATGCAACAACACCAGCTCACACACACACACACACACACACACACACACACACACACACACACACACACACACACACACACACACACACACACACACACACACACACACACACACACACACACACACAGTAAATAGGTCTGTTGTGCAGCTCTGTTACGTTTGATTCCTACACCTTGACAGCTGTCTGTGATTTTGACAGATATGATCACAAAAAAGGGATTACACTGATCTGGGGAGACAAGCTCTGTTCCCTTCAGATATTTCCGAGGAAGAGGAATATGCACTCGGTAAACATCAGATGGTTACACAAGCCTCTTTGGTTAAAGACTAGTGTTTATCCCAGAAAGGAGAAAAGATTTATTTCATAAATGTATTTTTTATTTATTTATTTGAATGGGACAAAGCGTACTGATGTGAATACAGATGAATATAAAAAAAATTAGAATATAGTGCAAAAGTTCATTTATTTCAGTAATTAAACATAAAAGGTTAAACTGATCTATGAGACATTTATTACAGGCAAAGCCAGATATTCCAGCCTTTATTTGTTATAAGTTTGGTGATTATGGCTTACAGCTGATGAAAAATGCCAAATTCAAAATCTCAGACAATTATATTGTGAAAAGGCTCAATATTCTAGACACAGATTTTCACACTCTGATCAGCTAATGAATCCAAAACACCTGCAAAGGGTTCCTTAAATGGTTTCACGGTCTACGATTAATTGCTGAAATAAATGAACTTTTACACAGTATTCTAATTATTTATTTATTTTTATTTCGCCTGTCATAGTGTTAATGTTCTGGAGATAACAAAAAAAAAAAAGCTAGTTTCCATTTCCATTGACATGAAACCATGGGCGTCGCACCCGTGGGGGATGTGGGGGATGCAACACCCACACTTTTCTTATTGAGGTCGTTCAACTGACACCCACACTTTTCCAGCTGTTTTGCCCGGCTCCACACCAGTCTGGTTTCTTTACGTCGCACTCACTCTGTTTGCCTCATCTCCTTCTTCACCTCCCTCTTCTGACAGCCGATATCGGGTTTCAAGGAGATCAGGAGAGGGAGGGACGGAAGAGCTCGACTGAATTCATAATTTTACATCTTGACATTAGCTGTACAAAGTCTGAGTTTGATAAAGTGAAGAACAACAATTTGCAGAGGTTACAGGCGCGGCGCCAGGTTTTCATTTTTGGGTGGGCCACGGTAATTTTGGACGGACCTTGATAAGCAGTGACTTAAGTGAAGCAGGCAGGTCGCGCTAGAAAATTTAGTTTAAAACGACATCATAAATGTGTTCCCCCGTCATTTTAATTTCTAAAATATGAAGTAAAAACTCACAATTTAATTTTCATTCATTTGTCATTAATATGTAGTCTACACCCGTGCGTTAAGTGGACCATCTTCCAGTAAAAGCAAAGCATCCAGCCCACCTCTCCAAATGCGTAAAATGTGCATCACAGCCGCTAGTTAGGCGCACCGTCAGCTACGTCAGCTACGTCAGCCCAGACAAGAGCAGAGCAAATAGAGAAAGAATAGAGGATAATTCTGTCTGGATGTGGATGGAGATTACATTTTACATCAGCCTGATCATCATTTAAATACGTAAACCATCACCTGTCTTCTAGTCCACGCTGTCAGCATTGGTGTGTGTGTGTGTGTGTGTGTGTGTGTGTGTGTGTGTGTGTGTGTGTGTGTGTGTGTGTGTGTGTGTGTGTTTCTGCATCAAACACTGGTCTAACCAACCAGACCAGCGTGTCCAGTAACATATTAATGTTACAATTAAACAGTTTCACTTCATGTAGGCTATAGGAACATTTCACCTGCCGTAGCCCGGCCGCTTCTGCTCCACATAAACTTTGTGCGTAATCAAATGTCTCTACAGGTGCTTTGTGAGCTGTTGGTCCTGAAAATGACCAGACAGGTTCGGGACGATTGGAGAAAAAGATGTTTGCTTCTGAGTTGATGTTGGAGTCAAAAAAACAGTCAAGATAAGATTCACCGCTGCAGAGGGAGAACACGTCAGTACTCATGCAAGGTCAGCCGACTTGCTTCAGTCACTGCTCAAAGTGTTCTGATTCTCGGCTTTGTCACGGCTGTATTTATTTGTTCAAGCAAGGATGGGTCACAAGTCGGTACATTTTCGATTTGAGCAATCTTATTTGAATATATGCTTTTCTAACAGTTTTGAACAAGAAGCGGCTACTGTTTTAGCACAAAACAGGAACTTTGGACAGAAATACATTGCCCAAAGGGAGGGGTGAGTATTAGCAACGGGAACTTCAGGTTTCATCAGGTCATGTCAAAACATCAAGAAAACATCAGGTCATGACAGAGTCATGACAGGCCATTATGGACATTTGTATTACTGTTAACAGAGCTGAAGAGGCTATTTTGACTCAGACTGGATGCGTCATGCGTGTCCATATTAGAGACGGGAACAAGCGCTATTCAGCCAAAGTTTCATAATTAGAGAACATTTTTCCAAGTTACACATCTCTCAGAGAGATCGCGTTTCCAGACCGCCTCAGTGGGAGGAAATCTTATCGCAAGCGTCGTGGTTCTGCACTGTGCTGCGAACCCCTCTACAGATCTTCAGCTCACTGTCCACCGTGTGCGCTCCGAGCCACGCTGAGCACATGTCCAGTATAAAGCTCTGATGTTCTGATGGGAATCCTTTCTTGATTGATTTAGTTACCTCCGCGATGTGCGTATACGATTAAAATGTCAGCTCATCCATGCGCATCAGTGTGCGTCGGGGTAATTCTTTCAAAACAACCAACATCCTTGAGTTTATCCGTCAAAATAAACAGTCAAATGGAAATATCTGTAACCTGCCATTTAACTGTTTTGCCTTCCTGTGAAGATTGTTGCAAAGAGAAACAATTAAACTTGATTAACCCCAGAGCCATGCGCACTATGTACTCCGTCACTGTAAATGAGGGGGAAACGATTTAATCGGATCCTTTTCTTTTCAACATGGATTAATGTAAAGTTTCATTCAGTACAAACTTTAGTTACACCAATCTAACGAGACAGATCCTGGATTTGTATTCTGAACAGTTTAAACATGTTTAAAACGGAGACATGCGTGACGCGTCTAAAATTCGCACCTGCTCCGCTATTATGGAAATTAAACTAACAAGATGAATAACATGAAATTATTTTAGGCACAGACAACATCCCCCACACTTTTGAAAAGCTTGCAACGCGCCTGCATGAAACACCAATTACAGGATGAGATAACATGACTACAACATGAGTAAAATAAGCAAAGTACACCAAACACTACAACCAGTTTAAAAGAACAATGAAAGATTAGCATGATGCAGTTTCTTAGCCTAAACATAAAAATACCATTAAAATTCTGGATAATAATGAAAGTATTGAACGGCCATGTTAGAAGTTCACTTTAAAAAGGTTCTTATGTTGACTAGTTTGTTCAACTCACAGCATCCCTTGAATGGTAGTGTATTTTGTGCACACGTGTTTTCTAAAATGAACCTTGTCTGATGTGTTTTTGCATTTAAAAAAGGTCTAGAAGGTGCTGGGCCTTTACCTGCTAGTGATTTGTAAACGAGGCACAAACATTTTAACTAAATATAATTCTCAAAAGTCAAGAAATTGTTTTTTCCTAAAATGTTGCAGATGTGATAAACTTTTATCATGCTTTTGCATACATATGGGTTTCAATGCAGTGCCACTGGGAAATGACCAAACAAAACAATATCTGATGTTAGATAAAATCATGCAGTTCAAATACAATGTTGCTGCTTCTTCTGACATTGATGATCTGGTTTGCTTAAAATTTTGCAGAGTAAAACCTGATACTCATCAAGCAAGTGGAAATCTGCTTAAAGCAGGTGCAGGAGCACCCGAATCATCAGTAAATGAGTCTGATCATTAAGTGAGATTAGCTAGAATAACTGTGTGCGCTTGTAAATTCCCTCCATGGAAACTAGTTTGTCGTAAAGTGAGGATATGCAGCGGTCTACTGAGTGCTGCTGAGGAACATGTTGTTTTTTTTCCATTTATGAAAGCTTTACAATAACAGTTAGAGAATGAATAAAATAGGACAGCGACTTATCTGTGATTCAAAACAACATCATTTGAGGTTTTAGGATTTCAATAGTTTTTTTTCTATTCTGAGCAAAATTCATATTCAGTGGAATACATTTCTTCATCTGTTAATGCAACACATTCTCACACCCTAAGTGTCGAAAAATTATGCGGTGTGACCAAGCGTTTGTTTCCGACGTGTAGGGTGCCCCTGCGCGTTGGGAGGCGATGCTCTGGCACAGAGCGTCAGTATCTGACACCCGCACTAAAAGGGCAGTTTCACCGACATTTCGCCTCTAACCTCTAGTGATTTAACCATCCCCTCACCCCCATCCTAACCTTAACCCTGTATGTCAATCTAAATGTTTCGTTAAGCGTGTTTGAGAGGCACGATGAAAAGTGAAACAAAGCTTTGCATGTGCAAGCTGGTTAAGGTTAGGATGGGGGTGAGGAGAAGGTTAAATAGCAAGAGGGTAAAGATCACAATTTGGTTGAATGTCCGTGTTACCGCGGGCGTTGGATAGCGACGCTCTGGCAAAGCGCGTCGCCTCCCGACGCGCATGGGCTCCCTACATGTCGGAAACAAACGCTTGAAAGGAAAAAAAAGGAAACAAACGCTTGGTCACTCCGCATCATTTTTCAATGCTTGGGGTGTGAGAATGTGTTGGTTTATGGGTAGAGTGGAGTTGGTTCATCCTTAGTACAGCCTTAAATCTTCCACAAGGTTTAAGGTTGTGTTTATGGGAAAATTCCCAATTCTTGATCCGTAATCTCTGCTCTAATACAATCTAATTTGGGTTGAGGTCAGTACTCTGAGCTCCAGTCAAGTTCCTTTAAACCAAACATGTCCATCCATGTCTTTAGAAATCATGAGTTGGTGGGCTGTTCCTCAAATATTTTGTAATACAAAGTAACTTATCACCTCTTATTTGTGAATGTATTGTTGTTGTTCTGTGGATTGTTTAATGATCTCAGTGAAAATATGTCTTGACCAGTGTGTATACTCAGTTTGTTTATAGCTAGCTCTTACAGCTAGCGATCAAAATATAAAACTTTCTTGACCCTGCCACGCCAATCTCCATTACCCTCAGCTCTACATTAAAAATCAAGTTCCCTAACCTGTGTTTTGGAATTTCTTTTAGAGACTTAATTAAAGAACGAGAAAGCAGTCCATGATTCAATCAAAAGGGTTTAATTTCAATATTGCAATACCGAAATGAGGAGACAGTCACAGAGGCTCTTCCCAAAGCAGCGTCCGGAGTGAGTCCTGCTCAGCAGAGGCCCCCACGCTCTATTGACCCTTTGCACCTACATCACCTAATCACGTGGGTCCGCCATAATAGACGGCAAAAGCATGTAAACAGTGAGCGACACGAGTACTGAACAAAGGGAAAAGTAGAGAAGTAGCGCACCTAGATGGGGCTCATAGAGAGTGGCATTTACAAAAGTTAAGTGTTAGTAGCTGAAACTGGCGAAGATTGGTCCTCTTACTCGACTGGGTCGGCCGTTACTTGGCGGACCAGAATTAAACTTTTGAAACAAGGAGGCACTAACACTGGCCCCTTGACCTTTCTGATCAGTCCTATAAAAATTATAGGTTGTACCCAGTTTATACTAGCCCCTTTTCAGGTTGACACATCTGCCTATTGGAAACTGCAAGTATGTGTCCGCAATATTTCATTTCCCACCTCAATTGTCCAAGCCGCTTCTGCCCAGGCATTACCTCAAAATCCCTACAAAACTCCACCCCCTAAAATCATTCTCCAAGCGCAAGATCCGACTATAGACAAATTGTATCAAGTTATTACAGGGGTTTCTGCTGCCATTAACAACTGGCAACTACTAGCAGAGCAATCTGCGTCTCAGACACGGTCCACCTGTGTTGTGTGCTTGGGTGCACGTCCCTTATTACGCATCGTCCCGGCCCCTTATAACTCCACCTGCATGTTACAATTACTCAACGCCTCTGCACCCAATTCTACTTGCTCTGCCCTTACACGATTTTTCCCCACTAGACTTCCTGCTAAGGGTAACACTCCCTTATTTTCATCTACCGTGGCACCAAACAATTTCACCTACGTTAATATTGTTGGCCCTCCAACTCATCGCGTCGGCAACATCTCTAGACAGTGGTGTTCATCTGTCACTACTATACGCAACTTCCAACCTAACCTACGCGCTGATTTATGGTGGTGGTGTGGCGGCGGCAAACTATATGACAGTTTCCCATCTAACACCACTGGTCGTTGTGCATTGGTCACACTCATCTTGCCTGTCTCGGTTATTCCTGTGGAGATGCCTCCTGTACTGCCCCTGGCCTCTTCCCCTTTAAGCCTTTGTAAACGAGCGCTCCAATTTGGCTATGACCCCACTTATAGCGACGCCATCGGTATACCTCGGGGGATTCCTGACAAATACAAACTCGCCATCCAAGTAGCTGCAGGGTGGGCCTCCTTAATACCATACATCACCATTAATGCTAATGTGGACAGGATTAATTATATACATTTCAATGGTCAGCTTCTTGGTAACTACACTCGGGAAGGTTTTCAAGCTATACATGAACAACTCTCCGCCACTTCCCTGATGGTCTGCCAAAATCGTATTGCAGTAGACATGCTACTGGCTGAAAAAGGGGGCGTCTGTGCAATTTTTGGTGACCAATGCTGTACCCTGATCCCCAATAACACCGCCCCTGACGGCACCTTAACCTAAACCATTAATGTGCTCCGTGCACTCACCGTTAAAATGAAATCCCATTCAGGGGTGGATGGCACCATGTGGGATTCTTGGCTGGATATGTTTGGTAAATATAAGTCTCTGGTGGCCTCTATCCTTGTTTCTGTAGCAGTTTTTGCGGCCATTCTGGTCACCTGTGGGTGTTGCTGTATCCCCTGTTTACGTCAGCCGTTGCAACGCCTCATCAAAACTGCTATTTCTCCCTCTCCTCTATCTGACCCCGTCCTCGCGTTGCCTCTCCTTACCACCGGTGACATTGATGTCTCCACTGGCCAGGACCCACCACCCCCTGTACCTCTTCCCCTGCATGTTTACGTCGACCCGGCCTCCTCTTTCGTGGATAGCGATTCGGATTCTGACGACTTGATTGCTCTGAAAGATACTTGCCTTTACCCATGAAACTAACCATTAGTCGATTACACCCTGGCTACTCAATATCCTTCAAGCCATCCTCTGAAGCTTGCTTCGTTTTAGAGCTGAAACAACTAATCGATTTAATCGATTATAATCGATTATTAAAATAGTTAACAACTTTTTTAGTCATCGATTAGTTGTTTAATAATCATATTTTACCGCATAAAGTCTATTTTTTACCACAATCTGACATCGGTTACAATCTGTTAAATTTGCCGCCAGTGTGTGGCAGTAATGAGCCACTGATCTACCAGTGGGGCCGTAGAAGAAGAAATTAGCCAATAAGTGCCCTCGGTTTTCATGACGTATCACGTTACTGACGCGCATCTTGCAGTGAGAGATGGCGGATCAACAACAAATACGGAAGAAAATAGAAGCGACAAAACAAGAGAAACCCCGGACAAAAACCTCACGAGTATGGGAGCACTTCACTAGATGCCTTGAAAAGACCGGTGACCTACAAAATTTGCAAAAACCATGGCACGACGGAAGCACGACGTCTCTAAGTGAACATTTGAGATGAAAACATGGGGGCTGATGCAGCAGAGGAAAGTCCGGTAAGTAACAGAAAATAAACAAGCTAACGCAGATCACATTTGGGACTTAGTGTTAGCTGAGTTCGTTATAGTGGATGTTAAACATGTTTTTTTTTTTTTTTGCCGCGTCAGTTTACGGTGTTCTACTTCTGATTGACTAGATGCAATCGTGAATCTCCTCCGTGTTGTGAATCATGCGCTTGCCAAATTTAGCACGTCTGTTTATAAGAATGTTTTCGTTAAGAGAAAATCGGCACAAACCCATAACTATGTTCCTCATTCAAAAAAGGACAACTCCGCGGAGAAAAATATACAGACGAGCTGTGTCCAGGTGAATATAACGCGGCATAGTTGTACGCTTTCAATTTTTAAATACAGGAGAAATTCAGAAAGTCCTTTTTTTTAACTATTAAAAGGCTGTTTTACTATCTAACGCTGTAAAACGCCTCACAACACATTTTTGTCAAAATAAATGATCACTGTATATTGTTAATTAATTCAAATAATGTAATATTGATTTAGTGTTGTAGTGTGTGCTGCTGCTTTATTTTATATGTGTACTTAATTCAGTTTATTTGTGTTTCTTATGCAGAAAAAAACAAGCAACGATGGACAACTACATGGGGAACAAGACACTCACCCCCAGCAATGCATACCACTTACAAACTCTATTCCAGGTTTTACATTATTTTTTATGGAATTTACCTCTTATATTTTGATGCCAAAAAATTATTCTGGACTGATATTTTGCACTGTTTAGCTCATTTTACACTGCTGACTGTGGTCATGTGCAATAAAATAGATTGCAGTCAACTGCACAATTCTCTTATGTTTTTCTTTTTCTTAACTGAAATGTATTCATCACTTGTATAGCTTAAATAGCTAAACAATAACAAACCGATTAATCGATTAATCGAAAAAATAATCGACAGATTAATCGATTATGAAAATAATCGTTAGTTGCAGCCCTACTTCGTTTACACTGACCCTCGCAACCGCATTGTCCTCCGTCGTTCTTTCCCCTGCATATTTGAATTGTACTGCTACGTATGGGAGATCCTTGGCCCTTATTACCCATTTCCGTTTACCCCGTCCTCCTTCATCAATTAACTTGTATTACTCCATGGGATATTGTTGTTGGGTTGTTGAATTGATAAATTGTTGGGTTTTGTGTTAATGAATTAAGGATGCTGATTGTGTTTGTTTTCTACTTTTTATATCATTTTTGAACTCTTATTAGAGTTCAAAAGGGGGAATGTTAAGAGTGTTAACTGATAATGCACACAAGTAAACCCAAGCAACATCTTTTACTTCTGATCATTGGTAATGCTGAGAACCTGACTCACTCTGCAGCTCATCATACATTCCAAATGTTCCTGTTATCTGCTGCTCACCCCTCCTCTCGGGTATTGTGTCTCTGCAAATAGCGTGAGAACAGGTTCCTGTTATCTGTGGAGATGGTAGCCTTCTTTTTAACCGTATTCTTTTTAACATCAACTCAAGGCTGCAAGTCTGCTGTTCAAGGATTGCTCAAACTGAACCTTGTACAACCATGTGACCTCTCCCTGCTTGATTGAATAAATACAGCCATCACAGAATGAGCGAGAGAACACATGCTGACAGCTGCTGGAGCAGGACCATGGTCCCTGCATGAGAGCTGTGTGTGTTCTCCCTCTGCAGCGGTGAATCTTATTTTGACTGGTTTTTTGACTCCAACATCAACTCAGAAGCAAACATCTTTTTCTCCAATCGCTCCGAACCTGTCTTGGTCATTTCAGGACCTACAATTCACACCAGGATGTAGTTGTGTGAATGACTATGTTGTGAAGTACCTTGGGGGTTGTGGAATCCTATATGCGCTATACAAATACAGGCCATTTACCATTTAATGGACAATATTTCTAGCCACAGCCAAGGTGTTGAGGGGATCCGTTTTGGTGGCCCTGCTTTTTGCAGATGATGTTGCCCTGTTGGCTTCATCAGAACGTTATCTCCAGCTTTCGCTGGAGCGGTTCGCAGCTGAGTGTGAAGCTGCCGAGATGAGAATCAGCTCATCTAAATCCGAGGCCACAGTCTTGAATCGGAAAAGGGTAGAATGCCTTCTCCAGGTCATGGACGAGGTCCTGCCTCAAGTGGAGGAGCTTAAGTATCTCAAAGTGAAGGAAAGCTGGAACATGAGATCGATAGGCGAATTGGTGTTGCGTCTGCAGTGATGCGGGCATTATACCGTCTGTCCAGGTGAAAAAGAGAGCTGACAAAGCATCCATTTTCACTAGAGAGTGTGTGTTTGTTTTAAACCAACCAAGTCAGCTGAAAAATAGTCCAAGTTACCCTGCAGCTTTGCCGCTTTAAAACACCGGGTGTAAAAGCTGAGCTCTGCTAAGTTAAACACTTCCTCACATTGGTGATGTGGTTTGTGCTCATTTGTGTGCTTCTCTAGTCAGGGTGCTATGCTGCTATACCTGCTTGTGCAGGCTGTTGAAAAAAGGTATTAGCCATTAATCATGACAAGTCACAACATGACACAGTGAAATCCATCACTTGGCAACTTTTAGAAACATCATTAGCTGATGAGCATAAAGAAGAATGCTGCAGCTAAAGGATGAGATACTTTCTCAGCACCTGATGGCACAAGAAAATAAACAAATGTTGGACTTTCAAACATGCTTTGGTTGAGTTTTATGTAAAGTCCTGGGTGACTAAAAATAACTTCTGAAACGTAAAGCTAACTATTAGTGTGTTACGCTATTTATATGCATAAGTGCTACTGGTGGCATAATGTTTATTGTATTTGCTGCTCTAGAGTCAATTGTTCTATCTAAAGCCTGTTTCACACCAAATGTGGAACGGATGTGGTCCGGTTTCCGTAGGGCGTCCAGACGTACTTTCATTCACTCTGACTGTGGTCTCCAGATATTCAGTGGGACACCTGCCTAATTTTTTGCAAACTTTCTGTAAATCTTATAAACTTTATTCCACTTCTCAAATGTCACTGTGTGTGTCTCCTGTGATGTCCAGCAATAGTCAGTTTTTAGGTACCGTTTGACCATTCAACATCTGGTCAAGAAGGAGACACGAGACTGCACGTGTTCCCTGTTACGTCCCCGACATGTGATGTTAAAAGTGTGAAGGATGGGGAGAATATAAGAACTGGTGGAGGAGTTTAAAATGGGTTTATTTGTACAAAAAGGTATTAAAACACGAGCAAAACTGATTTCTCTAAAAGGTTAACAGTACAAAGCAAATTATCAACTATAAAACACCTGGTAAAAACTTATTTTAAAAGTTTTACCGCAACGAAGGTGTTTAAGATCCTGAAGTTGATAAAAGTCTAAAACAATTTACTGACAAAAAACACCTGGTAAAAACTTATTTTAAAAGTTTTACCGCAACTGAAGGTGTTTCAAACCGAGGTCAGTAAAAATGCCACAAACAGAGTTAACCTTTTTAAAAACCAAACACACAAAAGATCCCACTGGATCATCCACAATTTCTCCTTTAGAGTTAAAAACAACCAAAGTTTAAAACTCAAACAAATCCAAACGAATAGGGGTTGAACCTAAACAAAACCTGGAGGGCAGCAGAACCCCTGCACTGCTGCCTCCCAGACTGCTGAAGGCACAGCCTTTTTATACAGGTGATGGCAATCAGTGAAGATTCCTTGCAGCTGTGCTCCTCAGCAGCCCGGGAGAGAGGAGGAGGAGGGGCAGTGTCAGGCTGATTCAGCAGGACTTGGTGATTGTGCTGCTTCTCTCCACAGGCCAGCCTGGCATCCGTAACATTCCCTCTAAATCAGCCTGCCTTCATCCCACCAGCTGGAGCTCAGAGTCTCTGCAGCTCTGAACACAGATAACAAAATGTCAACAATAACATTCTCTACTCAAGGTCCAATCTTTCAGGATTCTTCATGCCTCCATATAAGGCACACTCGCAGCCCGGATTAGTTGCTAAGTCAAAGAATGATTTCCTATATCATATATGAATTTCTACAACTTATAAGCTAGATAATCATTAAATAAACGTTTGTTTATTGCTACTTAATATTAATAATAATTATAATATAATGAAATGTTTCATTGATCTGTGCTCAATGATTGAAGTTTGATGTGAATGTTATGTTATGACAAACTTGTCAACCTCTGGTTGGCTACACAAATCATAACATGTGAACATTAAAACCAGATTACTCTGGTGATTCCTAAGTTCTAGAGAAAGCTTCAGATCGGCCATCTGAAGCAAAGACCTCTTTAACCATCAAAGCTTTTGACACGCTGTCAAAACCTTTTTGCACCTGTGAAGCTGATAAAGCAAACAGTTCCTGCAGAACAAGCTGATATTGTTTAGACTCCTTCAGAGTCCCAGACGCGCAGTTCCATCTATCTGTCGTGACCCGAGACATCTCTGGACTGGAAAAGTTGGTGCTGTGGTCAATCTACTGGACCTTCGGTGCCAGAGGTCATCCGACCTCTCTGACCTTCGGATCCACCAAGAGGGTCTCCGAAACGGGTGAAGTAGACACACAGATAACGTCTGATGTGCTTTTGATAATAATCAGCTTCATAGCTTAATGCAAACCAAATTATTTTGCATCCAGAACTCAGCTCTCCTTGATACAGAAGTTCTGACGTCGCATTCACACATAGGTTCTTACATCACATTTAGTTCCATCCATCACAGTAAATGCTTAGATAACTTGTCATGTTTTAATTGTTGGTAAAATAAGAATCCTAGAATCTTCTGATTAAACACCTTAAAGACCAAGCAGGGTTGATATTCTATATATAGATAGAGCATCACAGCTAATTGGTCATTAGTAGAGGTAATAGCTATATTGAGCTCTTAAAGCACTCAATTTAAGAAGCAGAACCAGAACGCAGCCGCAAACAAAAGTTCACAGACGGATCAAGTTCACACCAAAACGGAGGGTGTGATGAAGCAGCAGTGAGCAGCTGGAGCAGAAACTCACACAGTAAATCCTGATGGTGAGGACATAAGAAAACCAGCCGACATCACCAGGCCCGGCGGCCGACATCACCAGGCCCGGCGGCCGACATCACCAGGCCCGGCGGCCGACATCACCAGGCCCGGCGACCGACATCACCAGGCCCGGCGGCTGACATCACCAGGCCCGGCGGCCGACATCACCAGGCCCGGCGGCCGACATCACCACACCGGCGGCCGACATCACCAGACCCGACGGTCGACATCACCAGACCCGACGGCCGACATCACCAGACCCGACGGCCGACATCACCAGGCCCGACGGCCGACATCACCAGACCCAACGGCCGACATCACCAGACCCAACGGCCGACATCACCAGGCCCGGCGGCCGACATCACCAGACCCAACGGCCAACATCACCAGGCCCGGCGGCCGACATCACCAGGCCCAGCGTGGCTCTCCGGTAAGGCAGATGGCACTAGACCCGGCGTGGTTCCTCCGGGGCAGCTAACAGCGGCGAGACCTGCCATCGAGTCTGACTTGGTGACGCGGAGCTGGGCTTGTTACTCTGGGGTCACAGGACCGGAGGATGGCAAAAGAGGAGAAATCTGAGTAGGGAAAATGCCAGGAGGACGATCGGCTGGACGGGGCAAAGACATGGCTGCAGATGACCTGGAGGAGATCAAACGATCTCTGAACTACATGTCAGGTGAGCTGTCAAAAGTTACATCGCAGCAGGATTGCTTGTTAAGACTGATGGACGAGGTGAGAGAACTCAAAGTACTGTTAACAGCAAAAGAGAAAAAGATATCGGCTTTAGAGCAAAGAGTGGACGAACTTGAACAATATACAAGAAGGGAAGACTTGGTAGTAATGGGACTTGAAACCAGACACAGAAGCTATGCTAATGCAGTTACCAATCATAACTCAGCAGAAGATGCCTCACAAAAAGAACGTGAGTCACGTGAACAACATCTTGTAACATTTCTACTCAGTAAGAATATTTCCATACAAAAAGAAGCCATTTCCATGTGTCACACTCTGCCTAAAAAATATGAAAAAGCAAAACCAGCTATTATAGTAAGGTTCACCAGCAGAAAACACAGAAACAATGTATCGGCACAAGGAAACAAGCCAAGAGGCACTAATGTGTACATAAACGAACATCTAACTAAAAAAAATGGGACGACAGCCAGAGAAACACGGATGCTAAAAAGGCAGAAAAAAAATTATAGCAACATGGACAAGAAATGGGAATGTATGGATCAAAGAACAAGGGTCACAGGCTAAGATAATAAAGGAGCTGAAGGAACTGGAAAATTTCAATAAACAGTGACTGATGGATGGAAGAGAAATGTTGGAAAAATAAATAAATATAGTAAAAATCCACAACAAAGTCACATAAACTAAATACTAGTAAACCTAAAAAAAACACATGGACACAGGAATACAAGAAGAACTAGAATACACAATACAGTCCTGGAAAAGATTTAGACAGTAATCTGTACATGCATAATAATGAATGCAATTACTATAGCGACCAAGAATTGCTTGACTGTGCCTTGGTGAATGATACACTGAACATCATCCACTTCAATAGTAGAAGTTTGCATTACAATTATGATAAAATGTTGGAGTTTGTAACACAAAATAAAATGAGATTTAATGTCATTGCAGTTACAGAAACAAGGTTACAAGAAGGAGATATTGAGGACATTCAAATAGATGGGTATGAGATGTGTTACCAGAATCGGGAAAATAAAAAAGGTGGTGGTGTAGCTCTGTATATATGTAACTGTTGCGATGAGAGTAGGGGGAGGTTAGGACCCAAGATGCAGAACCAGGGAGACACGAGGCACGAGTTGGATTAAACATAAAAATCCTTTATTAGGAGCGATTGTCCCAAAGTAAATCCAAAAGGGAAGGAAGCCAAAACCAAAAATCCAATAATCCTAGCATGTAAACCAAGAGACCTAGAGACAAGTGCTCCTTTAAAGAGCAGACCTGGAGATATCCAAAAACCAAGAGACCAAGAGAGGGAACTAGATCACCGCTGACACAAACAATGGACCGACAAACACAGAAAGACAGGACAGGGGTTTTATACTCGGGCTGGGTGATTAGGAGGATTGGGCACAGGTGATATTAATAACCAAGAGGAGGAGCAGAACAGGGCAGGTGAGGAAAGCCACAAACAAAGCTACCGAACTAAATAACTTCGAACACTGTAGAAATAAGACTCTGGAGAACTAAAGATAATAAAACTAATGACCTAGGAGTAATAAAACCAAAAACACTGGAAGACAGGGGAGGATGATACCTAAAGGGATAAACGAAGTTGACAATCTACAATAACAGAAAACTAATGATAAGAAAAGTGACTAAGGGAAAACATGAGGGAAACCTATATATATAGAGAGAACAGAGAAAACCTGGAGGGGGCTGGGGAACCACAGGGAGGTACATGAGGGGGTATGCAGACAAGGAGACACATGAGGAACTCAAGGAGACACATGAGGGAGATGCAGAACGCAGACCATGGCAGTAACACCCTAAAAAGCAAAGTGATGTATAACATGTCAACAGCAACTGCTGATGTAATGGAAATGATCACTGTTGAAATAACATCTGAGAAGACAAAAAGCAAAATAATAATAAGCAGTATTTATAGAACACCAGGTTCCTGTACTGAATCATTCACAAACACAGTTTCAGAAATGTTTAATGGAATCGGTAACAAGAATTTGTTTCTCTGTGGGGACTTCAACATTGATCTGAAAAATACAAACAATTTATCAAACGACTTTGTAAATTCCATGCATCTACTTGGTCTGTTTCCACTGATAACCAAACCCACAAGAATTACTGTACAAAGCTCAACAATTATAGATAACATATTTTGTAATGTTTCAGGGGGGTTGGAGAGTGTTGGAAGCATAATGACTCATATTAGTGATCATCTGCCAGTGTTCACATGTTCAGATTAGACATAAACCTCAAATGGAAAATTTTATAAGGGATCGGTCATGAAAAGCCATAGACTCATTTAATAGACAGCAAAACTTGGATGAAATATATTTTTATATGATGTAAACTTGGCTTACAGCTCTTTTATAAGAATACTGTGCTGTCAATACGAAAAAAACTGTAAAATAAAAAAACTTACCAGAAAAGATAAATAAGAATAAACCATGGTTGACAAAAAGACTGCAAAATGCCTGTAAGAAAAAAAAGCCCTATACATAAGCTTTTTAAAACAAATAACCAGCGAAGCTGAACACAGATACTAAAAATATAAGAATAAATTAGTTTCAATAATTAAAATACAATATATATATATATATATATATATATATATATATATATATATATATATATATATATATATATCAATCTACTAGAGAAAATATTAAAACAAAATAAAGGCATCGTGGGGAATAATAAACAATGTTAAAAAAAAATGCTCATAAATACGTGTGTGGAGTAACCAGGTAGGAAGGTTTTAACGTTGCAAATTTGCAACGCCTGCCTCCAGAGGGTTAAACTCCTCCACTTGGGGCAGGACTTCATCCCTGACCCGGAGAGGGCATTCTACCATAGACTGTACATATACTGGACAATTCGATTCCATAGGCTTCAATAACACGTTATCTGTCCATAATGGGAGGTGTCCACCACCGCCATTTTGACCGTGTCACAGGTTCCGTCCAGCCCAGACAATTCCATAAAAGGGAAGAGAGGAGGCGCTGAGGGTGTGGCTGTAAGGCTGGGCTCGAGTGACGACACCCAGGCGAACTAGCTACGAGCTAACCTGAAGCTAACCCTGGCTAACCCAAAGCTAAAGCGGAGGTGGGAGCCGAGCTAACGGATGTAGCCACCTAGCTTCAACCCAACCGGAGCTAACTGGAACACCCATCGACCTGAACCTTACACGGAGTTTAGGTGGAGGTTTTCTGCGCCTGTTCGTGAGAAGTACCTGTATTAAAAAAGTTTTAAATCGGTAAGTTTATAATTTATTTCCGTAATGAAAACATTTTGCTTTGAGCAAGTTTTCAGTAGTTTTTTTTGGCGCTATCACTCCTGAGTCGCACCAGCCATTAAATGTATCATGAAGAAGAGAAAATATATTTAAGTCGTATTTTGGGGGGACATTTTATTATCTTTCTTACAAAATCTGAGACCAAGCGTTTCACATTGCAACACAAGCACCGGTAACCATAACAGAATTTACAGCCAGCAGAGGAGAGGATGGCGGTGTTTCAAACCCTCCCGGCCGGCGTGTAGAGCTCATTCCTGGGCTGGAGCCGGCCCTCAGCACCCCGCCACAGGCTCTAACAGATGCTGGCGGTGTTTCATATATTTCCAAAACGTAATACTTGTTTGTATCTTGTACAGCCAACTAGCCTTTATTCTGGACTCAGTACAATTTACCAAAAGTAAAGAGACATTATACAGATGAAGTAAGCACAAGATAACTTACTGGAAGACACGGGATTATCATCAGAACCAGAACAAGAGAGCCTGATAACAGTCATGTGAAAATAACAGTTAAAAAGTATGTATGTATAATAGAAATAAAAATATATTAGAATTAGTGTAACTCACTGTGATCCAAACAAATCAGCCATAGCTGATGAGTAAATATGACATGAGGTCTGGGAGTTTTTAAGTTTCATTCTTTTATTACATTTTTTTCTTAGATCTATTAAAAGGTCACCATGGCAGCCTGTGTGTCTCCAACGTCAGCTACACAACGCAGCGTGTAAGTTCCAAGTACTTGTCTTGACCACTTCATGAATGGTTTTGTACTTTAAACAGCTAGGCCAAACCTGTTATTTTTTCCTCCATAGCCATTTGGATCATTGGAGACAGCTGAGTGAGGCGTGGTGCCCAGAGAGCTGCAGAGACAAGCTTGGCCTCCCTGACGTCTGTGTCTCTTGGTTTGGTTGGGGCGGACCATCGACATACATACATGTGCCGACACTTTGCGCCCTGTTTTATAAACTGTAGTGTTAAAAATAAATGTTTTTGCTCAATTACTGGAATTTCTTTGGTTAAGACAAAAGTGAGGAATAATCATTTACAAGTTATTTGTACAACAGGCCCATTTTAAATCCCAACAGTTTCTTAGCAGACAATAGAAATGTGTTCTTTACTAACTTTACTTGGTTTGAAAATCTTACTAAAATAAACTTGAGTGCCGTATTGCAAAACCCAATCATACTTGTTATGTAAACATTAGCTTTGTAGATATTTTTTACAGATATATATTTGTGTGCAACAAAAACCAAACTTAAATAATTTGTCATTCTTTATTGAAAAACAACAAAATACAGGTATACAGAAGTGTGGGAAAATGATAATGTGAAAGTATTGCACTATAAATGAAGTGAGATGAGATGAAGGTGAGATGAAGGTGGATGCCAGCGGGCTGGACGCCGGACGAGGAAACCTGGAGACGGATCGCTCAGACAGGAAGGGAAGAGCTTCCTCTTACCTTGATGGAATTAAAGTTGGCCGTCGTCTGAACGCCCAACCGTACGGTCTGAGGTCAAAGGTCACAGGAAACACACACCAGTCAGCAGTCATACAGATGCATAAAGATAACTGTAGCCATGGCAACCAGCTGACATGTCCCCACTTTCACCAAAACCTGGTGCCTGCCGGGTCACCTGAATTCCTGTGTGATGTCAGCACGGTCGGCCGTGACTGCGGCCATCAGAGGTGACCTCTGATCAGCTGAATGAACTCACCTTCCAGGGTGACGCCGTGTTAGAGTCGGCTTCGTCCTGTAAACAAACAAATGAGTGGTAACATAAACACCACGTCTGGTTCTGGTGGAGGCGGAGGACAACACGCACCTTTCCAGGAGCAGAACCCAGATGTTCTTGTTGCTACAAACAGAGACGAGCAGAGTTAAACCAGGAAGTGAGAGGGACCAGCTGCTGCAGACAGGTGACGCTCACCTGAGCCTGAACCATAGGAGCCTCCTCAGCCATCAGACCTTCTGACTCCAGTTCAGATGCCACCTTGTTGATGTCCCTCAGGCGGGACTTGTTGGCCTTCAGGTCCTGCAGGACAAAAGCACCTGCTGATCACCTTGTTGCTGTCGGGTTAACAGGTCTGGTGTTAGAACGTGGTGGATAAGAATGTTCTGACGGGCCGAGGGTTCTGAACTCACCCTGCAGGACTGGGCCTGCTCCTTCAGGGCCTGGATGCTGCTGCCGTAAGCCGACAGGTCCGACATCAGGGCCTCGTGCTTCTTCAGGAGAGCCTGTGGAGCAGAACATCAGAACCTTCAGCTCGTCTGACACAAGTGGAGCTTTCTCGCAGCGATGGTCCAATCGGATCCGCCACCGTAAAACAAACCCTGCTCAGTTCACCGCAGACGTAGCTCTGCGGGTGTTTAGTGGAAAAGCGTGAGCCTTCTGCCGGCTGCCACGTGTCATGGCTGCTCTGCAGCGGGAACACACATCACAGCTTGTAAACCGTTTGAAATAAGAGCGACGGGAACACGTTTGTCATCACTTCCTGTGCGAGGCCAGCACTTCTACCCCTAACCCATGAGACGCTTAAACGAGCAACGACGTCTGGTAGACAACCGAAGGAAATGACAAATACAGAAACACTAATTATGAAGGACTGGAAAGAGAGCAAAGAAAAGCGATTGGAGTTTCTCAGGAAGGGACTTCCATACCTCGGCCAAGTCCTCGTCTTTCCCTTAGTCTGGACTTCCAACGATGGGCTCCTTCTCCCTCATCCAGGACTCGGCCTCATTAGCATCCGCAAAGTACTGCTTGGCCTGCAGAGAGTCCTCCAGGTCCTGCCTCCTCTGGGACGCCTTGGCCTTCAGCGTGTCCCAACGTCCATGAAGCTCCCACAGTTTAGTCTTCACTTCCTCACCAGCGAAGTGACCTGGACCCAAAAAAAGTGAGCCAGAACCTGCAGACACCTCAGAAACATGTCAGGACCAGACCTGCTCTACCTTCTTCCACCATGGTCTCTCCTTTCTGGGTGACAGCCTTGATGCGAGGTTCATGACCTGTGATCTCAGCCTGCAGAGCCTGGTGCTTCTTCAGCAGGTTCTGGACACCAATCAGGTCCTTCCCTTAGGACACATGTTAAGAGTTCAGCATTATGCAGTAGACAGACCAGTTTAACCCAGGGGTTTCTTTCTTCTACAATCTGCTCTTTAACTGTATTATTTCCTGCTATTTCAGCTGTTAACTTTATTTTCTCTCTAAGTGTTTTTCTCCCCAGAAGAAGCTACAACGATGTTCTGTTGAGCTGTGGTGGCCTCATGGAGGGGGCCATCGGCTAGCACACTGCTGATAACCACTTAAACATTCTCCCTCTCCTGATAATAACATTTTACTTTCTTTGATGTTGGATGTGCTACTACTAGTTTACCCGTTTAATTATAGATTCACTAGGATAAATACAATAAAGTTTATCTCTCGCCAAATAGAATATTTACTGTGGCGAGCCCGTGAAGAGGTGTAGGAGAATGCGACAAATTTGTCTGTTAAAAAGTCTGTTATGTACAAAAACACAATATCATCACACTATTTTGGACCGATACATGACGGTCAGGTCCAGCTTGGGGAGAAAATATGACACGTCTTTCAGGATGGACTTCATCTTTGGTAGCTGGCGAAGCCGGGAAAAGCAGGATCTAACCACCTGGCTAATGTGGGAGTCCATCCGCATCTCTGGGTCCAAAACCACCCCCAGGTTAGTGATGGTTGGCTTCACTAAGCTGCAAAAACAGGGTTGCAGGACAGGACTAACTGCAGTGGGAGAGGGAGGAACAAATATTCCAGTTATAAATATTAAATATTTGAACAAATAAATATTTGTTAAAAGGAAGAAACTGATGATGACTTTAAGATTAGAGGAATGTTCTAGAACGGGTCTGGAACCAACGATGGCCCTTTGGATCAAATTTGGATTAAAAAAATAGGTCATGATTTTATTTATGGATGGAATAAAAATACAGGTTGTAAGCATCTTCTCAGTATCTTCATGTTGCACGACTTTCCACAGCAGAAGGACACAAAAACTGCCAGAATTATGATTAGAAAGATTTACGTTTTAATCTCAGAATCCCAACTTTTCCCAGAATCTTCACATTATTCTATGAATTCAGAGAAAATATACATTTTTCAGAGGTCTCGCTCCCCTGTTGTGGATATTTCTCAAAATTCAACCATTTTTTCTTTTCAAAAGCTTTAGTAAGAGTTTGGACTCTAAACAAGTTTTATTTTGCAGACTGCTTGTCTACACCTTCATCAGATCTGCTCATAATAAAACATTTGGGTTATATTTAATGCCCAGGAAGATGCTCTTCCTGGGCATTAAGTTATCAAAAACAGATAAAAGTATTTTTTACCATAATTTTAACTGCTATCAGCTGATAAAAATAATAAAAAACAGCCTGATCATTAAAGGGGTGTAAGTGAAACCGCGCGGATCACACAAACCATCATGCTGTCTATATGACTTTGAAAATATATAGTTTAATTACAGTTTGATTTATTTGACATCTGTATAATGTTTATTATTTTGTTTTTTCCCCCTAAATGCCTAACGTTTCAGTTTAACATGAATATTAGTCATTCATCACAATACATAAAGTTACACATTTTAAATTTTAATAGGGGAAGACTGCAGGAGGGAGCGGTAAAATACAGAAATCCCCAGCAAAAACAAGAAACTTTACGAGTCTGATGAAACCCGCTGGAGTTCCTTCAGCAGGCCTGGTGGCAGCTACAACGACCCAGTGGCTGTGCTTGGTCAATGTTATCGAGCTCAGTCCGGCTCGGCCGTGAACGAGCCGAGGCGACATCCTGCTCTGCTTAAGAAGAGGTGTTATTTTCCGCTTCAGAAGAAGCGTCCGTGTTTTACGCTTTCTCAGAGACATGTCACGTTGCTAAGTTGTTAGCGCCGCGCGCTAACACGTCAATAGTGCAGCATAGCCTGCTGGAGGGTTCAGATGAAAACACCCTACCACTCAGGCTGCTTACACATCGATATTAAGTTGTCGCTGTTGCGCTCACGCCGTAATACAGTATTAGATGCGGTTAAAGTCAGACATGAAAAACTCCACGAGCGGTCAGACCGCGCAGCAGCTAGGCGCAGCAAGTAGGCGCCGGATCGGTCAGGCTGCCCGGCCTGACCGCTGGGGATTACCGGATGGAAGAATGGACACAGAAGTCTCCCTCTTAGCGCTCCGTCATATTTCAACCCATTTTTATCTTAAATGCACTGGGTTTTACCCTATTACCCATCTAAATATGCCCTATTAATTATTTTACCGTATTTTACATTTAAATTTCATGGTTAAACAGTACATGCTACATGTTAAACTGATAGTTAGCTAGCTACTTCGGTAAACTCAGCTAGTTTAAAGGTGGCAGTGACATAAAATACGAATATAGATTTTAACTTACCGAAAAAAATGAAGTGGAGACTCCTTGGACGCTCTATTAGTGCAATTAATACCACTGCAAGTCATTTTGTCCAACAATTGCACCAATAATATCCAAAGAAGAATACACAAACACAGAGACTCAAAATGCCGGAGCAGTTTCCAAGCCAGACCGAGGCTGTACTGAGGCCTTTCCACGGAGCTAGCTCTGTGGTCACGTGGGTCTGAGGCGGCGGTCACGTGTGTCGGATGCTCATTAATTATACAGAATTTTAGGCTTTCAATACACTTAAACAGAAGAGTGAGAAAAAAATTCACCCCCCTCAGAGTTGTCATGAGTATAAACTAGATAATTTAGACAAAAAACATGTTTTGGCACCAGGCTGTAAACATGTTTATTTCTGCTGTGAAATCGGCATTTTTAACATGGGAGTCAATGAGGATTTGCTCGCTTCTGGCACCAGCCCCCAGCGGATGAGGGTGGAACTGCAATTTTTCTTACTTCCGGGATGGGACCATTTTCTGAGCGGCATTGTGGGGGCTTGCATTCTACCCTTTTCCGAATCAAGATCATGGTCTCAGATTTAGAGGAGCTGATTCTCATCCCAGCTGCTTCACACTTCACAAGTTTAAAAATATGCCTGTAAAAATAGCATTAACTGTTGGGCAATGTGACCTTTTATCCACGTCAATATTGAAACAAAAGCCGGAAACATAATGTCAGATGTTTTATTTTGAAATAAACCAGAATGCAGCACCCTTAAACACATCTCACGTCCTGTCTGGCTCAAGTAATTTTTTAACTTCATCCACATGCAGTGTACAGGAAAAATGGACTGAGGAAACTGCTTGCACTCATTGGTTTTTGATACACGTAAGTGGAAGCTGCACAGAAAGCGGACTGCATCTGTTCTGCTTTCGGTAAGAGAATGAAAGAGATATATTTATTTACTCTTAAAAAACTCTGCAATGTTATAATTTCCTGATCAGTGTCATACACTCAGTGACTCAGAGCATTTAGGCGTCTTGACGTGGTGAAGACAACTTGCTGGAGTTCAAACTGAGAAACAGAAAACAAAGAGGATCTAAGTGACTTTTATTGTGAAGGGGTTGCTGGTACCAAACAGGTTTATCTGAGTATTTCAGAAACTTACGATCTGCTGGGATCTTCACTCACAACCATCTCTAGGGTTTACAGCCAACAGCCTGAAAAACGGAAAATATCAAGTGAGCAGTGGCTGTGTGGATGAAAATCTCTTGTTAAGGTTAAAGGTCAGAGGATAATGTGCAGACTGCCTCTAGTATAGATGATAGAATGACAGCAGCAGCTCAAATAAACCCTACAGTCTACTTGAGTATTTTTGCTGAGCATGTCCATCCCTTTATGACCACATGGACTCATCTTCGGATGCTACTTCCAGCAGGAACATGTACCGTGTTACATAGGTCAGATCAACTCTAACTGGTTTCTAGAACTCGACCATGAGTTCACTGGACTCTGACGACCTCCACAGTCACCAGATCTCAGTCCGGTCCAGTAACTTTAGGATGTGATGTCATCTCACGATGGACTATAACCTCCGAGGAATGTTTCTCACACGTTGTTGAATTTATGACTTGAAGATTTAAGGTGCTTTTGAAGGATAAAAGGGGTCCAGCTCAGTAGCAGCAAAGTGTACCTGATAAATCAAGTATTCATTAGTAATAAATGATCTGCTGTTGGTTTGGGTGGTTTCCACTGAGCATAAATAGTAATAGAGTCATTGGTCAAAGTGTATCTTGGTTTAATTTAGTGACTTCTGCTGTAATTTGGGACAAAAATAAATTAACTCAGTCCACTGAAATGGATTCTACCTCATCAGAATGTGGACTATGCTGATAAATTTGAACTGGTGGGTTTTAAATCTAATGGTTTTCCACGGTATGTTATTGTAATTAAACGTTGATCCCAGAGTGACAGACCCCTGGAGACGCTGAGGGTACGAATCCTGCCTACAGCACATAAGATCATTATTTATTAAGCACTGCAAAAGGGAGTTTGTTAAATCAAGACAGGCACAAGAAAAAATAATAGCAGATGTGACAAATTACATATTCTATCATTTGGTAAACTGATCTTTGAATGTTCTTATCAGCACACACACACACACACACACACACACACACACACACACCCTAAGAGCTAACAAGGTGCCAACAATCATGGGTACAGCGTCTCCTTTCTCTCTGGACATCCCCTGATGCCTTTTCATTTGTGATTTCAAGAAGTCCATTACTATTGCAGAAAGGTATGGTGCTCCTGCACCACAATCAATATTCTTCCATTAAGGTGATGAACGGTCCGTTTCCCCACCCGTCTGCAGTCAAGACAAATTCTCTGGACCCACTGATCCGAATCAGTCAGTGTCAGCGTGACGGCACGACTCCCCAGCAAAGTGAAGGGTAAGGAGGATGAACAAGGAAATTTCCCCACTTTGGAACTTCTGCTGTGAAACGGATGTTGTCTTCGCTTCAGCAATAAAATCAGATATTGTCTTTCATTTCACAGCCGTGAAGTGTGAAAAGATTAGTAATTGTCAAGTTCATGTGATCATTTTAAACTCCGCTTTTGATCATGGCCTTAAAGAATGATGTTATTTAGTTTTGTTATGGAAGGTCAAAATAAACAAGGTCAGAGCTAAGATTCGCTCTCACTTGTCTTTCTGTGGAACAAAGGAGTAAACACAGGGATCTACTAATAACACAGTAGTTTAAAATGTTTCTAGCAGGACACAAAAATGTAATTTTACTTGAAAAAAGGAAGGTATTTATTTCAAAATGTTCCCATTTCGGTTGAAAAGAAACCTAAAATGGAAACTGACTTGTACAATGCAAAGAAAATATCCATTATTTTGCTTTTGTTAAACATTAGAATCAGTGCTGACCAAAACATGTGCCAACCTTTCACTTAATTTCCTTTCAGGAAACAGAAATTCTCGTGCGTTTCTTCTCCTGACAAGGACATGCCGAGAAAACCTTGGTGAAAACAGCAGCATGTAATTTAATAAAGTCTGCATTGCTAGCTCGCTCAAGGAACTGTTTCCCCTCAATTTAACAGCTGACATGTTCTGCTATCTTTTGGGTAATCCGAAGAGAAATGCAGAATGGCAAAGCAATTACCGGGTGACTGACGGGCTTGCAGTTGAACATTCAGCTCTGCCAACAAACGTGCATTCTGCATTCAGCTCAAAGTTCAAATCTCTCCTCTGTCATAAACAGAATGATGCTGATAAGGAGGACAGGCCTCTGCGATGCATCATTAAATAATCAGATACCGTATGTGCTGCATCTTAATTAAAATATTTCAGATTATGAGTAATTATTAAAAGAAGAAAATAAAATGAAAGATCATCTATGAGGCAATGATGACTTGGGATTTAGTGAATTGGGATTGTAATTGCTGATTATTTACTTAGTGAAGGGATTGGCGGAGAATTTAGCAAAATCCTACATGACATTTAAAATTAATTATTGTCAAATAAATAAAACAAGGGTATGTTCATATATGCCTTTAGTTTCAGGGGAATATCTCAACAAAATGTACCAAAGGTCATGATGGTGCTACTGGTCTGTCGTGTGAAGTGCCACAGGGCTCTGTTTCAGTGCCAATCCTTTTCTCACTACATCTCAGTCTCCTTGAACAGATTATTTTAGACCTAATGACATTAATTGACTAATCGATTATTTATGTGCCTAACAGAAGAAGCCTGTTCTGTTTTGGTCGATCTACGTTCCTACCCTCAACTATGATCACAAGCTTTGGGTGGAAAGAATGAG